TAACGAAACCAGCAGGGTTTTCATGACTGAAATCCCGACCTGCATACAGATTGTGGATCTTATTCGAGCAGACTTGCTGTCCTTTAGCTCTGCGCACAGCGTCTGCGTCCCAGCTCTAATGCGGGTTGAAAGCTACGAGAGTGTCCATCAACTCGTCACGGTGGTTCGCGGTATAATCGACCGACCGCTGTCCTCGCAACAATCTCCTATCAGGAACACAGTCGACGTCGTCCGCCGATGCTTTCCTCCAGGCTCTATGACAGGTGCTCCCAAACGACGCAGCGTTCAGATTCTCGAAAAGATCGAAGCTGATCCGGGAGACCGCCCTGAATCGGGACCAGCGTCCATGAAAAGCTCGCCTAGCTCTTCTCGAACCGAGCTCTGCAGACGACCGCGTGGTCCTTATGCTGGTGCGCTGGGCTGGATGGGCGTCGATGGTGCTGCATGCTTCAGCGTCATCATCCGTACCCTGGTCATCGACGGACATGGTGAGAAAACCCGAACCACACCCGCTAGTCGTATTCGCAGCAGCTGACCGAGACGTATTCATTCTTTGTGCATCAGAAATGTCACTCGGCGCGGGGGGAGCGGTAACGTACCTCTCTGACCCGGAACGCGAATGGCAAGAAGTCCTCGACAAGGCCGCAGCGCTGGGCGTGCGCGTATGAGCACCAAGTGGTTGCGTGTAAATCGCAACACCGCAGCATAATTCTGCGGTCGCCCTTGTGAGACTTGTTCCTCAATGACTTCTCCAGACCCACACACTGTACACTATCAGTATCACTCTGAGTCTTCACGTCACCTTCTAATCGTGCACCAAGTCTTAAGCAATTTCCCCGTGCCTCGCTGCAAACGCTCTCGTGTGCCCATCCTCGTCATGCCTCGGCGTCACCGCGGTCGAATCCATCCGCTTGCGAATCACTCGTTCTGCCCTCCGCCCGGCTTTGTGGATCTAGAAGACTCATCTATTGGCAGCTGTCTCAAGAATTTGGAGCATTTTGCTTTGCGATCTTTGCCATTTCCGAACCGCATTCACTTTCATTTGACAGAAGCGCTCACATCTCGAGGTAGCGACGCCTCCTCCCTCTCCAGCTCGCATGCGCATTCCGGTTTGTGCCAATCGCCGCTTTCGCGTAGCCTAGTGGTGCTCGTCGTGAGCAGAGCCAGTGAAGTTGAGAGTGTAGACTGCGAGGCAGACGAACGCAGTACGAGATCAATCAGCATTTGTTCACGCTCATGGAGCACTGAGGAGCTGGCTTGAACCTGACAGCTTCCAACTGCAGCATCTCATCGTGCATCACCCATAGCCATCGCTTGACATCGCTGACTTCCGGCAAGTGGCACCTCCTCCCGAGTGCAGCCTTTCCCGCCTGAACCTCAACCTGCGCACATTCACCGCCCTACCGCGAATCAAAGCGCTCGGAGAACTTACCTGAACCGCACTCGGCACAGCGGTGGTACTGGCGCTCGGTAGTAAGTCGCATGTACCTGCGGACATTGCGAGCATGGCAGCTTGTCAGTCCTGCAGCGTGAAGACTTGTTTACAAGGTGCTGCGTGTGCTCACAGAGTGTCGTGGGAGCCAGCTGGGCTACCCGAGCAGCCGATGACACGCTCAGGGAACTGCAAAGAAGGAACACGATTGTCAGAGTGTGAGCGCTTGCTTCACGAAGCGCTCAGGCGGTGACGGAGGTCATATACGACTCACAGCGCTGTTGACCGAGATGGGGTTAGCGATGGTTCCGATGCGGTCAGATTGGAGAGGTTGCATGTCGAAAGCCTCCTTGCCCTGCAGGCGTTGCTCCAGCTCGAAACGCTCCAGACCGGTAGATTGGTTCTCATCGGT